TTTAGACAGTTGGAGAGGGAGAGGTTATTTGAGTGTTTTTTTAAGGGAGGGCACATAGAGTGCTTGCATTGTAAAGGGATGATCGAGGAGCAAGTTATGACATGGATTAACTGGTTTGATTTCTTTCACATTTTTATATGTTGGCTTTCTATATTACCATGAATTTTTCAATAATTTCTCCTCTCATATATAGTAGTTAAAAATTTTCATGATTTCCTGCACATTTTTAATATTACGATGATTTTTTCAATGTTTTCTCCTCTCATATAAAGTAGTTAAAAAAATTTCATGCTCTTTTGACTACGGTTTGTGAATGAAACGAATATTTCCTTCGCCAGTCCTAAACATTTTTTTGTGTTTTAATTTGATACATGTTGATGCTTTAATATTTTGATCATAAGTTAATTATAATCCGGTAAATTAGATAGTTAAAAACCCTTTTGATCTAGGACTTCTAATTATTGACTAGAAGAACAAGTTGGTTAACACACAGTCACCTAGTGGAAAAAATATATTGCTAATACGAGATTGCAACCAAAATAGGAGACTGGATGATTCCTGTGAAACCTTCCATTATTAAGTCCTCTTAAGTGTAATACAAGCTTTTAACCTTCTTATGAGCTATGCATAGGCCAAGGAAGAATTATGTATGGTCATCAACAACAACATAGGGATCTCATACGAAAGCTTCAAAGATTCACAAAATATGAGTCATAATAGTATGATTTATCACCTATGAGAAACTCCAAAACCTAATTATTTTTCTGCCTTTTAGGTTTTAGAAACCCTTACCTTCTGGAAAATTTTAAACACTTCAAACTAGACCTAGAGCTTTATTAAGCTTGATTTTGCTAGTTAGGACAATTGACAAATTTTCTTATGGGATCCACACACAAACTCTAATTTCGTATATTAGTTGTGTAACACATATAGTGACGTGATTGCCAACTACTTCACATCAATCTCGGGCAGCCATAAGATATGAAACTAACTTGAAGCCTTTTTTCATATAATAAGCATAATTATTAAATTTATCACATTTAATATTGTCGAGTAAAATTAAGTAAAAACCACCTTTTTTGTCGAAATTTGAAGGTTGAACATTAGACCACTTGCATCATAATTAATCATTGCATTTGAACACATCTAGTTTACACCTAATTATTTTGCCTTCAAATTTTATTTTTCACTATGCTTATTATTTTCTACTTCGAAGATACCTTACATTTTAAATATATTTCTTGTAAAAACATAAAATTGATGGCATCTACTTATAAGGTAAGTATTTTCAAAACAGATAAAATTATACTGCCTAAAATTAAATCTTAAAATAAACATGCATATTCAAATGGTAGAAATATCAATGAAATAATCATAGTATTTTTTTACTAGTGGATTCTAAATTTTTATGTTCCAAAAATAAAATTTTTTATCTAAGATATCTATTCCTTTGGTATTTATATCATATTATTAGAAATAATATTCATTAATATTCTTATGATTCTTCAAAAAGCATTTAAACTAGTAAAATACACATAATTTATGCTTTTTAAAGATTATTTAATTTGTTAAACATAAAATATATTTAGAGGTTGTTTAGTGAACTTTAAAGAAATGAGAAGTAAAATAGATGCAATGTATTATATTTGCAGTTTATTATTTATGTAAGGTGTTGTTTGTGTTTGTAAAATAAATTCTGAGAAATTGTTTTTTATATTTGCTTATATACATGTAAAATAAAATAAAATAATTGAAATCAAAATACCTAAACTTGTTTGATTGTCAGTATAGTAAATATAAATAAATTATTTTTTATTTTATTTAAAAACTTGTCAAAAAATACATATTAATTAGTGTATCATATTATTATATTAATAATAATTATTATTATTATTATCATTATTTGTAAAATAACATAACAACATTAATGTTAATGATTAAAATAAGTGTGAATTTTTATGATTAGAGTAATGAAAAATATGATAAGAGCATATATTCCTTAAAAAGTTTATCAAAAAAGTTCTAAGCGAAGCAAGAAACTTCATATGAAAATGATCCATGAGCAATGCATTTGAAGATATTAATTTAATTGATGGGTGCTAAAACCTTTAATATAGGTGAATACATTGTTCAGTTATATGGGATATTCTAATCTCGATAGCAATCCCATATACATAGAAGAAAAACTCTAGCCAGTTAAGTGATTTTGGTATCATTGAAAAGTTTATAAAATTTCTCATCACTTTAAATATTATTTGTTTTACCCAATCTTACTACATACACTACAATTTTCAATATAACATATGTAAACATATAAATTGTCCCAAAATAATAGATATTTCAAACATCATTATCTTTAACAAATTGAAATTCATATTGCCATGCATACTTATATGACATGAATATGTTGTAAGTGTAAATATCATGCTCGGGGTGTTAAATATGTAAATAAATAAGACTTATGTTATGTAAATTTCCTAATAACTAAAATAAAAAGAAAAAACACTAAATACAAAGAAGAAATTCTACCATTCACATATACATTTGAAACGAATCCAAATATATTGAATTTGGAAAATATATTAACGCGATAAATTACTAAACTAGAATAAAAAAAATACTTAAAAGAAATAAATATAGAAATATGGATTTTTTCTTCCTCTTTTTAAGGGCATTTGCACTAGTACAAGAATTGTAATGTTTATGAGAAAGTGCCATAAAGTCATCATAGTTTTGTAGACACTGCGACTAATGTTTGAGACAACCTAAGACAATTTGTAAGAACATCTTCAACATATTGGCCAACAGTTTCCAGTCAAAAAATATAAAAAATAAAAATAAAAAAATAAAATAAAAGACAAGTCATCATACCTTAAATTTCATTGATTTCCAAAAAAATTGAATGGAATGGCGGGTGTCTGACTAGAGAAAGTGGTAGCAATGGCAACAGGAGCAAGGTGCAAAAACTGGCAAATCAGGAATGTGCACACAAAGTTGCAAGTTGGCAGACTTCTTCTCAATACCTTAAAGCTAATAATGTGGAAGCGAGATGTTCCTCATCCACATCTGGCTGCAAGAGCAACAAATTGTCACTCTATAAGGACTGAATGGAGTTCCTTTGCTAGTTTAGGTGTCAAATTATTCATTAATGGTTGAATATTAATATGAAAGACAATTTTGAAATGATTGATTTATCAGTTATTCCACTTCTCACTAAGGCTATCAATGATATCATTCAACGCTTGATAAAATTATTGTTTTATGACATGTGACTTTCCATGAACATACATTTCTTTGTTCTACCTATACAACTAATTCCACTACATATACCATTTTTTCTTATTTCCCCTCACTTACATTAGTTCCACTTATTCCCAATTCTATCTCCCCTCTAACTTGTTCTAATTTTTATTCAGACTTTCCTAACAAGTAAGCTGCTTCAACATGTCCATTCTCTTCCTCTAATGAACTACATTCCTTATCACGTGCTAATAGAGCTCTAATCTACAACCATATGCTCATAAGGTTCGAAGCATGTCATCTTAGACCTTGATAGATTTTGAATTTGAGCTCCATTCCTACGACTGATCCATACTATTATTTTGTTGTTATCAGACAATCTCATTGGTGCAGTTATATTTGAGGAATTTCAAGCTCTTCAATCTCAAGATACATGGATTTTAATAACTCCTCTACCAAATGTTAACATATTTTGTTGTTAATGGATATTCAGAAAAAATCATAACTATGATGGTTCACTTTCTCAGCATAGTATAGGCTTGATTACATTCAATCTTTTTGTTAAAAAGTTGACTATTTGTGTTCTCCCTTACAGTTGTATTATTCAATTTTCGGTCTATAATTCAACTAGAGGACTCAACTGTCTTTCTACATGACAATCTTATCGAAAAACTTTTATATGAAGCAACAAACTAATTTTAACCTCTAAAAATGATGCTTTCATATCTATTCTTATATAAGGCATCTATATTTGGTTCCATATCTTAGTTTTTAGGTATTGTTTATCTTAATCAAACCTACTATGTTAAAAGTCTTCTTCAACATTCTGGTATGGTTGAGTGTAATTCTATTCAATCTCCTCTAGCTACAAGAACAGTTCAAATATAGTTAATGCAATTCAGTTCCATCAACCTAAATTTTTTCGTCATCTCATTAGTTCTTTATAATATCTCATTAACACACGTCCGGACGTCCCGCTTGCAGTCAATAAATTGCCATAATACAAGCATAAGCCTTTTCTTTGCCATTCTCAAGCTCTCAAACTTCTTCTCTATTATATCAAATCTATCATTCTGTTTTACCAAAATAGCTTACAGCAAGCCTGGCTTTTCTTTCTTCAGGAACTAAACAGCATGTTCCCATATTCTTTAGCAGTCATTAATTTCATCGCTAATGTCTAAAACTATTGCTAACATTGCGAAGCAGTTCAGATCACTGTAACTAATTGCAATGGTTCGATGTTAGGGATCTAAATTTCTGTTAACTGAAGCAATTTAAAACACAGTTATAAACGAGTTTACTTGCGCTCCTTCATAGAATAAATTAAATAAACATATATCTTAATCCCAGTCTGTGATTAAATGATGTGAAATTATAAAAAATATATTATAAGAGAGTATACTTAAATTAATCTCTTCTAAGAGTTTAATATTTTGCTTGAAGAAAATTGAAAAAAATTATATACACAATTAATGGTGACAAAGAAAGAAGCATTCACAATAAAAAAATAGTAATTATAAAGAAAAATGAAATTGAATCTATATTATTAGTCAAAACTCGATTAAGACGTTATCCCAAGGTAACGGATGTCATGATTATCGTCTCGCCTGTGTCAGCCAACTTGTAATACCGATATCCAGACAAAAATATTAAACCAAATAGATGAGTACATTTTACCCATATTTAATAGTATATATATATATATATATATATAGATATTATATAGGAAATAAAATTCAATTAGCAGATATATAGTGGGCATGCAACCATATTTCAAGTTCCAATTCAACAGACTTATTTATTATAAAATATACAGAGATAAACCATGAGTCAAGTCTACCGTATTGGTGTGTTACTAAATTAACCTATAAACTTCCATAAAATTAGACTACAAGTAACAAATTAATTTACCAACTGCGATCTCGGATTCTCAGCCCATGCTACTGCTTCCAGATCCATCAGCAACAAATCTGAACCCGGTGGCTGTTGCCGCAGCAGGCCAGTCTGCTGCAGAGCCGATCGGGCTTGTGGCAGCCATGGCGGCATTAATTGGCGCGGTGGGGTTTGCCTGCAACTGCTGGACTTGCCTCTTTAGGAATTTCACGTAGCGTATGGCTTCGTCAAGCATGGATGCAGTGTCCATCTTTGTTCCTCCGGGGACAAGCCGCTGAAGTATCCTGATGCGCTCGCTGATCTTCTCGCGTCGGTGGCGGGCGGCAACGCTCTGGGGATCGTCGCTGATTTTCACGTTTCGGCGGCGCGGCTTCTTGATGGTTGTGGGATCAATATCGACAGGCTGCATGGCGGCAATCTTGTATATCATCTCCTTCATGGCGCCGAGTTCGTTGTGAGCGTCGTCGGTGGTGGGTGTTGGCTGATATTGGAGAGCAGATGGATGGAAGGTGGGTTCGAAAGGATGCGGAGAAGGTGTCATCAGCGGAGGATGGTGTGGTTTGTTGGGTAGTTGATGGTGATCAATGAAGAGGTGGTTGCCCATGTCAAGGAGATCCCAGGAATGGGAGCTGCTACTTGAGGTTTTGTTGGTGCTAGGTATGTCCATAAATAAGTAATAGGGGTGTGAGGTTTTGTACAGATAGAAGGGAGTGGAGTGGGGTGGGGTGGGCATTAGGATGCATATGAGTGCATGCAAGAGGGGCTTTAAATAATGCAAGAGGGATCAAGATTATCGTCACTATCAGGTTTGGTTGTGATGCCAGTTACGAATAAATGATAGGAAGAGAGATAGCCAGGGTTTGTTTTTGTTCGATGCTGTAAATTTTCTAGTTGAATTACTGAGGCATATGGGAGTTAATTTGAGATCTGTAACTATATTAGTTAAGAAAAAAAGGTTAAGGTTGTTAAAGCATAAATTTTGAGTTTCTAACTGGCTTAGTTTTTTAGAATGACTTCGCATTGTATTTTATACGTCGACTAAGGTTTATATTCTTTATTTTCTTTTGTAATGATTTTTTATTTTTAATCAGCATTTTATTCCTGAACTCTTATGGATGTAGTGATCATATTAACTTTAGAGGAGCTCTCGCCTTTTTCGAATTTTGGCTCTGATATTTTGCAAGTGCTAACTTTAAAAGTACAAGCTTTAAAGCATTAAATGACATATCAAAGGATTTGTTAAGAAAAAAAGATAAATTAAACACATAAACAGTAAACTAAAGCAACTAAAAATGCTGAAAAATAATAACTTAAAATTTACAGCTACATATACAAACAAGTTCAATAGGTCCACTAACCAAACCCATATTTTTTTCTAACTCATACCATCAACAATAAAACAAAATAAATAACAAAACACAAAATCAAACAAATCCCAAATAAACATTACTCATCATCATCCTCCTCTTCCTCATCACCATAATCATCATCATCATCATCATCATCTTCTTCTTCTTCTTCTTGCACATAAGGCGTGAAACGAGGGCATGTAGAAAACTCTACAGTATGATCACCCCTCAAAAATCTATCCATCTCCTCTTCATATGCAATGTCGTGTTGGAATCTTCTCTGCTTATATTCGTCCTTGTAAGCATTTTTGGCTTCCCAACCACCTATTCTATTCTACACTGCTACGAGATCTGATTCTTGAATCATTAACTGTTCCATAATATTTTTAAGTGAAACAGAACTGGAAGTAGATGGTTGATCCCGACATTCTATATAGATAGATGTAAAATGCGATGTATGCAATTATATGATTAATTTTCTTAATAGTTTTTCTTGATTTGCATTAACGCCAAATATTTGATCCTAAACAAAGGCTAGGTAAATTTTTCACTATGAAGCAAATAAGAATGCAGTTATAGTATTTTAATATGAGATACTAAGCTAGTATACATATCGTTATCAAGTAATATAGAACTTTCTGATTAAGTTCCGAATATTAAACTAACAGGGAGGATTGGATTTAAATAACAAAATACTTAGCAATATATATTCTCACTCAAACTTAAGATGCTATAATAGAAATGAAAGTTCGATTCTCTTTATGATTTTTGATAATTGAAAATAAAGCGAACAACTAATTAACTTAATTAAAATACTTGTAAGATGAAGAAAATATAGTTAAAATATATTTTTCCTTATCATGAATCAGTGATAAATATAGAAATTCTATTATGAAAGTATGTTAAATGTGTTGTGACAAATAGGAGCAATAATATTTATTACTCTTACTAAAGATGCTATAAAGAACATTGACTAATATATAGTTTTAATAGTCTTGAAGACCGGCTAGGCAGGGAAGATACTAGCTCTCACTCTAGAGTTCCCTCTTCTCCCTCCACCTGGGGGCTAAGATCTCGTATCAAAACCTAAAGCTATAAATCAAATTGGGGGATTTAACTTATCACTCTAAAGTCCTCTAATTTTACACCCGTGAAATATATTTCCCTATTTATTTGCACTCCACCCCATGAACTACATTCTCATTCATGAAATCAATATGTGATTCCAACCATTTGTTGACTGAGACAATACCATCAAGATCTTACATGTTCTCACAACAGTTTTTAGCATATTAATTGGCCAAATCAATAAGTAAATGAAGTGCAAGGTCTTGAATCATCACAACTTCTTCCAATATTGAAGACTAATACTTCACACAGCTTCCTTTAAACATTTAATCACTTATCATTTTAAGGAAAAGATAAAAAAAACTACTCAAAATTCATGGAGAAAACACAACCACACATGAGTTTAAAAGTAGAATCAAGCACAAAAACAAAAAAAATTAAATTACAAACCAAGTGTAGTCACAAAGATAAACACTTATCTTAAATTCTCTCTACCGAATGTCTTAAAGTTCCTTTGAATTCTCTTCCTTCTCTCACAATATAAACTAATACTCAAAATAGAATAAAATAAGATAAAGGTGGCCAGCGACGGCGGCAGCGATGGTAAACTTTGGTGGACAGTTACTGGCCCTTTTCTTAGAAAATCTAAGTCTTTTCTTATAAAAATCTAAGGGGTGCCCTGGTGTCTCTTCAAAAAGGTGTCTCCATTCAATGAAATCTTCTAGAAGTTGCCTCCTCATAAGCCAATTGATTGAATTTTTGTGTCCATGAGCTATTTCCCACATTTTTTTAATCAAGGGTTTCTTCAAACACTTCTTCAAAATTTTGCTCCAATTACTTATTTCTTCAAGTAACTAACTTTGGCGCTTAAGTGCAAGGTATTTGGCGCATAGGCGCAGATCTTCTGGCGCTTAGGCATCCTAATTCATTTTTGCACATTTCTTCATTTTTGCTCCAAATTTGACCCTTTTTAACTCATTTTAGCATTTTCATCCATTTGATTGTACCTACAAGAAAAATACACAAATATATTTTATTAAAGCACAATATCTCAAAAAATAAGTATAAAAATGTGTATAAACTATATATTTTAGGTGTATCAAAATCCTCCAAACTTAAGGTGTTGCTTGTCCTCAAGTGACTTTTTAATCTTTAAAAACCAACATACGTAGATAATGTATATGAGTTTCTTTAGGAATTACCAAAATTTAGATTTAGAAATATAATTATGCGTTTTAGAAAAAAATATTAGTAAATGAGACGAACCTTAAGTTTAGAAATTTTTAAGGTTAAGAAATATGAAAATATGAGTTCCTATATAATTTAGAAGTAATATAGATTATTCAAATATAGAATTTTGGCCTTTTTTTATCTCTACATAAAAAAATTTTATTAAGCATAATTTTGTTTACTATATTATATCTTTAAGCTTAAGAGTTTCATAAGTCTTATACTTTAAAAAGATCAGATGTGGAACTAATTTTTGACTAAGAACTTCTCCTTCCTTTTCTTTTTATTTTTCTTTTTCTTTTTCTTTTTCAGGCAATGATTACTATATCTGGATAGGTTTTTAATGGTTTTGAATTCCACACTTCCTTTCCTATAGCAAAGAGTTGATAATTTTCTTTTACTTAAAAAACATAATAATAGTTTTGAAACTCAATTTCAATAAAAGAAATTTAAGTTTTGAAAATGAAAGGTCTAAATTTCTAAATTCTTCAACAATATAATTTTTCTTACTAAAGGTAGTTACACTATATTCATCATTTTCCACACTAAAAAATTTTAACTTTAAGTTTTTCTTCATTACTGTAAATTTTAACAAAATTCTCTTGCTCATTTCTAAAATCAAAATTTTACTTCCCTAATATAACTTCATATACATAATCATTTTTGAAATAAAAATCAAATTTATTTGAAATACATTTGAGAACAAACAAACTTTTAAGTTTCTTTAAAATTTTCATCCCCCTCCCAAACTTAAATTATTAATAGAATCAAAATCAAGCTTATTTGAAATACAATTGAGAACAAATAAACTTTTAAGTTTGTTTAAAATTTTTCATCTCCCCCAAACTTAAACTTTTTAAGAGCAATAAAAAATTTTAGCATCATATATAAATGCAGGAATGAAAACTAACTATAACATGCTTGCAAGAATTTTCATATCCTAAATATGCAAGTGCAAAAAAAAAATAGGAGTAAAAATTTAATTTGATCAATTTTTTTAATTATTTAAAATACAGAGATTCACAAGACTTCTATGCAGTGGAGTATAACTGAAAAGCAAATAAACATACTAGCAAACAAACATGACTGCAACTTAATGAAAAATAATTGGTAGTAGATTGAAAATTTTAAACATGCAGCTTAAAGTAACAAGTTAGCTAAATTTTAAACCTTTCTAAGATTCTAGAATTAATTTTAACAAACACTAACTAAATACACAAATTAACACAATTAACATAATTACTACCACTAAAACATTCTAACAACACTCAAATACAACTCAAAACTCAAATACAAATACATCACAGAAGGTGTACTAAACAAAACACAACATAACAAAAACTAGCAGTCTCAATACTCTCAACTTAACTCATCAAAAAAAAAAGTACAGAATACTTTCACCATCCACAGTTCATAATAACACATTAAAAGAAAACAACATAAAATAGAAAATAGAACTAAAAATCCAACTAAGCATCATCTTCCTCATCACTATCATCACTACGCCAAGCAGCTGTAGGCTTAGATGGTGGATATCTTGGATACTGAGGAAATGCTACATCTCGGTTACCTCTATTGAGATGCTCCATAGCTGTGTTGTATTCCTCCACATAATCACTTCTTCTTCTTATATACCCATCCATATGCTCTGCAAAATGCTCTAAGTTCAATACCTTATTCGTGGTGTGATTGACATTATCTAAAATCCTTTGTAATAACTCATTCTGAGACTCAGAACCAAAAGTCTGACCCCGTGATGTAGAAGCATGTGAAGTAGAGGCTCACGAATTAGAGGTAGCAGAACTACTGGAGAATCCACCCTTCCAACCAAAAATAGTATCATGTGAATAAATCTTCACATTCGCACTAGTAATAGGCTTCAATTGCTGTAAGATCTCCTCCCAACTGTCATATCTAAAACCAGCCTGATCACATAACGAAAAGATCAAGGATACAAATCCCAAACCTGCGGTAGTAGTTGCGATGACAGATATGATAATACCTCCATAAATCTATCCTCCAATATCAATAGGCTTGGACTGCTGAATACAGTAATTCAAAGTTGTTCTCTCTTGAGTCACTTCACTCAAATGATTTG